ACAAACCGCATTTGTTACCCCCATCCCCAAGGTCACCACCCCACAGTCCCCTAACGACCTCAGGCCAGTTGCCATTACCCCCATACCCAGTCTACTCTGTGAGGACTTTGTTTTTGAGTGGGCATTTGCCAGAATCTATCAGTCAATTGATCCACAGCAATTTGGCAATATGAGGACCTCCTCTACATCACACTGCTTAGTGAGCTTTCTGGATTTTCTGCACAAAAACCTGCAGAAACGTAAGACATCACTGGCCGTTGCCCTTGTTGACTTCAAGAAGGCCTTTGACCTTGTTGATCACTGCACTGTTATCAACAAGGCCATTGCACTTGGACTGCCCACCAACCTGGTCTCATGGCTCACTGATTTCTTGAGTGGATGTCGTCAGGCAGCGAGGTATCAGGGCTCAGTCTCCACATTCCAACACCTCACCTGCGGTGTTCCCCAGGGGACCAAGATGGGACCACTGTGCTTCCTCACTCATCCTGATCAACGGCGCTCTATCGGACACTCCTCACAGGTGGAAGTACGTGGATGACTGCACTGTGGAGGTTTCAGTGGACAACACCGCACCAGACTATACCAGACTACTCATCGCTACAAGGCACCTTGGACAGGCTACAGGAATGGACTACGTAGAACAAGGTCACCATCAATCACACCAAAACCATAGTCATGCACATCAATACTGCCACCACTCCAGTGCAAGCTCCAGCAGTCACAGTGGGTGCCCATCCTCTCCAGCTGGTGCAGTCTGCCAAACTCCTGGGTGTAACTATAGACAACAACTGGACTGGAAGGCCCATGTAAATAACACAGTCAAGGCAGCCTCGTACTGTCTCTACATGCTACGGCGACTTAGGTCACTTGGGACACCCACGGCAGAGCTGAGGACTATCTACAATGCTTTTATTCTCCCCAAACTAACGTATGAGTCACCAGCCTGGTCGTCTTCTCTCAACTCCACCCAACAACGTCGGCTAGAGAAGGTACAGAAAAGGGCCTGCAGAATCATGCTCGGCGCAGAATACTCCGGCTACATCAATTCTCTCTCCACCCTGGAAATGCCATCCCTCAGTGACCTCCACCACCAAGCACTGGAAAGGTTTGGCAGCCAACTAATGCACCACCCTCGTCATCGCCACCTCCTGCCACCGGCAGCCCCCCACCCACCTCATGCAGTCCGCCACTACAACAAAATTCAGCCCATAAGAGCCCGCACCAATAGATATAAGAATAGCACCATCCCATCTATTGTTAAAATAATAAACAACTCCTGATTTATGTACTGTACAGCGCTGCAAATGTATTCAACGCATATCATTATGTCTAAATCAAATGTAAGTTTGTATATTTTCAGCCACCGGCTGCAACTCTATTAATAAACCGTTTATTATTATTATTATTATTATTATTATTATTATTATTATTATTATTATTATTACAAACTGATATACAAATAGATATAGATAGATAGGTAGATTACCTGACCTGACCTGACCTGACCTGTATGTGGCTGACCTGACTGTGGGCATCACCTTACTGGTTGTATACCTGTACTGTACATGTTTACATGATGAACCAGTGTGAACTTGTATAGTAATATTACTCTCTGTCTGTCTGTCTTTATTTTCTTTCTTGTAACTGTTATATCTGTCTATCTATATGTTTGTCTGTCTGTCTATTTATCTATATAAGCTTGTATGTCTGTTTGTATGTATTTCTGTCTATGTTTCTATCTGTATATCTGTCTGTCCGCCTGTCTATCTACCTTCGTTATCACATGAATGATTGCCGTAATCACTGTGTACTCCACTACAGTGCATTCCACTCTACTACTACTACTACTACTACTACTACTATTGACTGTAGCCTCATAGTCAATATGTGCAGCAGTTGTCGGCATTGGGGCAGAAGCTCTCGTTCCCCTGAGGCAGAGCAAAGCCGACCAAAGGAGAGAGAAAGACAGTTGACATCTCATCCAGGCTGTAACATAACTTCTGGGCTGCTGCTTCTGTTCGGAGATCACCTCCGCGAGTCTGGCGTAGAAACATCTTGCACTTGGTCCCATACCACCAGAGGTTGTGAACACTAGAGGAGTGAAGCTGCCTTGATCAACATTTTGTATTCTCTCCCCATATGCCCTTATCTTGTCGTTCTCGTTCCTCCTGTGTGCAGCATCGAGAGCTAGGTTACGGTGATATGCGGCCATGGGATAAAAAATCCTGATGTCGAAGAAAGCTCGCTGTCCCCGCGTCCAGAATCCTTGAGCACTGACGTCAACACGGGCTTCGTTAGATGTGTTTGAAGTCCTATGTTGGAAGATCTCACTGTCACCTTAGAGCAATGGCATCTGTAAATTCTTGTTTATTTAGACTGAAACCATTTGCCCTTATCGGTAACGTAGTTAACCAGTTCGAGGCGCCCACCTCCTGCGCTATAGCTACTTTTTTTTCTAATTTTCTGGTACCTGCAGCAACAGTTGCTGCAACTTTTCATTTTGGCAGTGCTGTCGTTCTGTCGTAATGGACCTACGAATCTTGTTTACTTCACTGGTATCCACCTCCCCTGTTGCATTCTGGGCTATTATGTGGTCCGTGAGGGCTGCCGTGAGCTTAAGTGAATTTTGATGTTCGGTGGCAGCAATCTCCTCTGCATTGGTTAGTCCCATACCTACTACTACTACTTTTTTTTAAATTATAGCCTCCAACCTATCCTTATAGCCACCACCACCACTACTACGCTACCACCACCCACTACCACCACCACCACACCACCACAACACTACTGCTGTATCATCATGCCTTCAGATAGTGTGGACAGCAGGTTCCACCCAAACAACCACCATTACTTACCACTACCATCTATAGCAACCACCACCTCCCCACCACCCATAGCAACCACCATTTCATACCAGTAACTACTACCACCACTAGCCACCACCACTAACTTACTTCACCAGGGGTTAAACTTTGTAATTAACTTAACAGGTGAACTTTAATAAGTTCAAAGTTCATCTTGATTCACCTTAGGATTAGACACTTCACATTATTTTACCTGATTATTAAACACCCTAACATTGCCTGGGGGTTAGGTTAGGTTAGGATCAATGTAGGGCTGATTCGGATAGGGTAGGGAAAATTAGGGTTGGTTAGGTTAGGATGGGGGTTGGGTATATTTGGGTAGTGAAATAGGTTGAGGTTATGTTAGGGTAAATTGTTGTTAGCATTAGGTTAGGTTCAGTTAGGGTAGGTGAAATAGTCTAAGGTTATGTTAGGGTAGCATCAGGTTAGATTAGTTATAGGATGGTTAATGTTGAGGTGAACCATTATCTAGAAACAGTACGGTACTTTGCCCCGTGTTTGTCAGAGATAAACACCCGAGAAGATTCTGTGTTAAGTGTTAGATTATAAGGCTCTTGGTGTATGGTTCACAGATTCACCAAACCCAAGGTACAGTCACCCATAAAACTCCTTTCACTTCTTCTTCTCGACCATGAACCTCAAGATTCAAACTTGTGAACCCGAAGCATTACTCTGTCCATAAAGGCTTCTGGTTCATGAGTCTGAATTTCAGGGTTCATGGTTCAGGAGGAGAGACGACAGGTCTTTAATGGGTGACTGCATAGTACAGGTACACTAAATATAATATCAGGTGCCAGGGTTTAGGCTCTCACTTGGCCACAGTCACATCAATACTGTTGTTATTTTCACTTAGTTACTGTATTCCTTCTCTAAATAAACTGTTTCAGTTATTGAGCCATTGACTGGAGGAAGACCAGACTGTTCATATGATATAAATTAAATGTGAAAATTGTGGATTGCTCAGTTGTATCCCGAGTCAGTCTGTGTGGAGTTTAGTACAGTGGATGATTATGGCTTTTAACTGATTCACTGTGGTAGCTTAACCATTTGAGTATGATCACTGAAGCCTTTGTGTACAGTGACTTAACTCTTTAAATATACTGTAGTTGTTTGGTAGTGAGGACCATCCTCCATGGTACAGTGTTAATACAGGAGGAAAGTGTAGTACTGTACTGTACTTGGAGAAGACCTGCCATGTTTGGTAGTGAGGACCATCCTCCATGGTACAGTGTTAATACAGGAGGAAAGTGTAGTACTGTACTGTACCTGGAGAAGACCTGCCATGTTTGGTAGTGAGGACCATCCTCCATGGTACAGTGTTAGTACAGGAGGAAAGTGTAGTACTGTACTGTACTTGGAGAAGACCTGCCATGTTTGGTAGTAAGGACCATCCTCCATGGTACAGTGCTAGTACAGGAGGAAAGTGTAGTACTGTACTGTACTTGGAGAAGACCTGCCATGTTTGGTAGTGAGGACCATCCTCCATGGTACAGTGTTAGTACAGGAGGAAAGTGTAGTACTGTACTGTACTTGGAGAAGACCTGCCATGTTTGGTCAGGTCACACTGGATAACACACCATCTATCTGGGGTTTGAACTCGTGATACACTTACGAGGATGGTAAATACCTGTAGAGACATTATTAACTTATCAACTTGTGTAAAGTAAGTGGCAGGGTTCCTAACGTTTACACCCCTAACCCCACAGTTTGTCTCCTTCAAGTATTTTATTCATTTTTTCAGTTATGTATATTTCACTTGTGTCAGGTTAGTCCTCAGATATGTTAAGATTAATTTTGTGTTTCACTTAGTGTTTCTTAGCTGCTAATCCTGAAATGGTGGTTTAGGATTCCCTACTGTGCTCCCACGTGTGCAAAAATAGAACACGAGAAACACGAAACTTGCTCTGGTGATGGTCGTCGTTTAACTCTGAAATGGCGGTCATCGTCAGTGGGATTTATATGTACGGACAGCAGCCATCGTTAGTTAATGTTTTCTTGTGTTTTATTTGTTTCTTGTTCCTTGTGTTCCATTTTTGTGCACAAGTGGGGTCACAGTAGGGAATTCTTAGCCTCCGTTTATGGGTCGAGGATTAAAGGAAATTTCAGATGCGTGACGTGTTACTCGTTGTCCAACAGCCTCTACCACGGCGGAGATCCTACAGCTCAGGGGGCAGCAGCAGCAGCAGCAGCAGCAGCAGCAGCAGCAGCAGCAGCAGCAGCAATGGTGGACTGGTGGGATCACCATCGTTGGCGCCCCACCAGGTGATCACGGTACCTGTCACGTCTCTCCCTCACTCCAGCATCGCCATCAGCTCCGTCACCGCCACGACTCTTCCTCATCTCGCGCCGTCCTCCGCCACAGTCACCGTACAGGGCGGCCGGACATCCCTCGTGTCGGTGCAGGCAGCCAACACGTCTGCAGGCTCGGCCCTGCTCGCTCAGCTCCTCACTTCAGGTCAGTGTGACTGTGGGTGTCCTGTGTTTATATGGTCAAAAATTACCTCAGTATAACTCGTGTCTAATACTGTAATAACTAATTCTGGAAATTAGATTTTGTTAGACATTTCCTGCATAAGTTAAATTTTTATAGTAATTTGTTCCTAAGATTATTGTCCATCTTCTAGGCTCATATCCAGTCACTAGCAGTCAGTCAGTCACCAACACCAGTCAGTTAAATAACCTGAAAAGCAGCAACATGACTGTTAACTGTTCCAACAACGTGAAGGCGTCGCTGGTCATACCTGGCGTCCTAGCCAACGGGAGCTGCAACAGCAGCATGACGACTAACAGCAGCATGAAGCCACTCATCTCTGCCTCCCTCTTAGTGCCTCCCATCACTCTGTCTGCTGTCACTCCTTCAACGCTCAAGACCCAAACCATAGGACAGGTCAGCAGTCTCAGATGTTGTGTTAATGACCTGAAATTGGGATTGTATGTATGTATGTTTATATTTATCAATCCCTAACACAGGTCACTGGTCTGAGATATTATTTTAGGCAACCTTGAGATTGGGAATATACAAGTTGTGTCCGAAAAAAATGTTTACTCCCTGCTTTATAGATTTTTGTAGTGGTAGTGTGAATGTTCGTATTACAACAGCAACATTGTCCTCACCTGATGTCCGAGGTCTCCCGCAAGTGAGGAAAATGTTGCTGTAGTAATACTGTACAAATGTTCTCACAACCACCACAAAAATCTTTAAGACTTGAAAGAGGAAAAAATGACACACTAACACTTTCTGTAATTCTCTCTGCCGACAGATTTCTCCCTGGAGCCCTTGTTCACCACAGGGGATACTGAAGCAGTCTCCACCTCACCCAGAACCTTCCTCCCCTCTCATGATGAATATCCCATCACCACCCAACAAGCCTTTTAGGTATGTAGGGTTATGGATCTGTTTATCTGTACCTAACCTAATCTAACCTAGCCTAACCTAACCTAACATAACCCAAGTTGAGAGAAAGTAAATAATGCCAATATAAACGTGAAATTATGTTGTAATAGAGGAAAGAAAAAGTAAAACATCACAGAGAAATACATTACTTAACTTAACTTATTGATAAACTGTTCATCATAAATTTAGTGGTCAGGATCAGTCCGAGTTAGTGACATTCACGAAGGACTTGTATCACTTCAGAGCCAAGAGTGACTCTGAGCGTGTGCAGTACAAGGAGCACCGCAGAGTCTGTCACATCAACGCAGAACAGAAACGCCGCTCAAACTTAAAAAATAACTTTGACATCATGCACCATCTGATACCTTCCATTAACCAGAATGCTAATGCTAAGGTGAGTCGTAGTCTTTTGTGGAACTTTGGATCATTAACATGTGCAGAACAGTATAGTTGACACTTAATAGCGGGCTAAGGATCTACCCCTCTCACCCCCCTCTCACCTCCTCTCATCCCCTCTCACCCCATATGTTCAAAAAATGGAACACAAGGACCACATAATTTACACTGATGATGACCACCTTTCCCCTACACCAGTGACGGCAGCTTTTTCAGGGTTAATACCGGGTACTGTGTTTACACCAGACACCAAGAGTAGTCTCAATTAGTTATATTGTGCTACACTTAAACACGAGATAACAGTAAACACAAACTTGATAAACATATATGTACACTTGGCCACCTTATTGTCCTAGCCAAGTTACTGTGCTAGGTGATATGTAAATGTGAGTACTGTATATTTCATCATTTATTATCCAGAACATGATGTGATACTTTGTGTTATTAATGACAGTACAGTACTACCTCATGCACTACACCTCAATAACCATTAAGTTGTTATACAGTACAGTAAAACCTCCATACAACGGACTTCTCACTATACTATACTCTATATAGTTCATTAGAGCGAGGTTTCACACCTAACGGACCCTCGATATAGCCGACTTTTCTAGTATATTTGACTGTGGTATACTCTTTCAGATCAGTAAAGCTGTCATGCTACAAAAAGGGGCAGACTACATCCAACAGCTCAAGTCAGAGAGGCAGCAGCTGACGGAACAAGCGGAGAAACTCAGATCACAGATTGAGACTCTTAGTTGTGAGATCAGGTACATTTCTATGTAGTATTTCTATGTAGTATGTTTTGTAGAGTATTTCTGTAGAGTATTTCAATTTGCTCCAGCCATTTTCTTGCTTCATCATGGAACTTATGTGTGGGGATGAAATTTATAGATTAACGTTGCTATAATTTGTGACACTAAGTTTTATTAAAAGGAAGGATGAGAGAAATTAGTTGCTGCTACACTTGTTAATGTTAATTAACATTGCTGTACAGTTTTTGCTAATTTTTCATAGGAATCTTGAAAAAATATTATTGTATGCTTTTTCTGTGCTAATTCTTAAAAGTAGTATTGAGAAAAAATAATAATTGCTACAGCTATAACTTTTGATGCTAATACTACTGTACTTATAGAGAGAGAAAAACTTAATTATATTCTTTGATGTTAATTCTTAAAATGAGAGAAATTAACACAAGTGTATTGTTCTCTCAGTAACGCCCAGTCTCTGCTCCCGGCGACAGGAGCCCCCATGACCCACGCTCGTTACAGCAAGCTCAAGGAGATGTTCAACAACTATGTCCGTGAACGCACATTAGCTAACTGGAAGTTTTGGATCTTCTCCCTCATCACTGAACCTTTGTTGGAGTCTTATAACAGCAGCGTCAGTACCAGCTGCTTAGAGGACCTCTGCCGCTCTTCCCTCGCCTGGCTCGACCAACAGTGTTCTCTCAACGTCCTGCGGCCACGTATGTTTACCGAGTCCACTTTACGATTGTTGTGTCCAGTTTGTGTTTGTTGTTACCATCTTTCAGCATAACAACAAAATAATAATAATAGTACAGTAATAATAAACAAAAGGTGTGAAAGAATAAAAATGAGATAGAATAGAAATACCTATATACAGTTTCATTAATTTCCCTTACAGTTGTGTCCAGTTCTATGCGTAAGTTAAGCACGACCACAAACGTGCTGGCTGACCCCGACAGTCTCCCAGAGGAGGTGTATCGCCGCGTCACCAAGCAGGAAGGCGACATGTTCTATCAGCGGTGATCCTGGGCCCTGGCTTCACTCGACACAGATCACGTCCCGCTGATGGAGTCTGTAGTGTGAGGAGCTGTCGGGGGAGAGGATAACCAAGACCGTCATGGAGTATTAGAATCTTTTAACCATTAACCGGCGGCAAAGGATTCCCTACTCCTCATATGTGCAAAAAATGGAGTGTGAGGAGCATGAAACCTGGACTGGTGATGACGCCGTCTCTACTGCACACTTCCACCGATAATGGCTGCCATGTAAGGGTTAAGTAAAGCCGTAAACACAGATTTATCAAATATAAGTAAACTGAGAAGGTTGTCTTCTGAGTGGGTTCTTAGACTAAAACACAAATTTATGAAATAAAAGAGATATGAACCCGAGTCAGCCAGTGTAGAAGAGTCAGTCAGGCAATTGGTCTTCCACAAGAGTATCTATATTTTATTCTCATACAAATGCCGGTTGGAATTTGTCAAAATTATTTTTGAAATTACGAATTCCTACAAATAACTCGTACTAGACAGTCTCAATACTTATAAAAGACATAAATTGGCAGCTTTCCTTTAAGCTTTTGTCAAATCTCATCCTTGATGTTTATGATGCATTTTATGTCATATAATTGTAGATTCATATCAAGAAAAAAGCATTAATTGAATGTTCTCTTATTGATACTGTCTCCTGCCATGATCAAGATGGTCATGGTAGAGTTTCCCTCCTGGAAGATTATTAACATACAGTACTGTACCGGTAGATGGTTGTTATTATTTTCTCACGTGATGAATCATAACAGTTAGTAGTTTACTTCTTCTATCAGTTACAACTTCCATTAAATATCATATTCAGTCGACATAATCAGGCAGTCACCACCTCAGGGACTAGACCACACAAAATGGAGGAAAAATACACGACCGTTGAGTGTAGCCAAACACGCCAGGTCAGTACAGTAGTGTAAGAAAAGGACCTATTTATCTCTTATATTAATAAACCAATCTACAAAGTTAAAAAATTAGGTTTTATATTTTTTTATGCTAACTGGAGGTGCAAATGTCCCCTGTGCTTACTGGTACAACACTACAGTACACCAGTCATGTATTATATATGTTCAAGTATTATGGGATATCTTAAACTCTTAATTAATTATATCTGATTCAACGTTACTCTTAATAAATGGACTCGATTATTTGTCGCTAAAACTTAACCTTTGTGATGCCCCGGTCTCTTACGGCTCGGATATAACTCAAGATTTACCCCGTCTTCCAGTACATTCAAAACGTCTCGGACGAAAATAATTCTTTCCATGACTTGGTTATTTTTGTCTATAAAAGAATTCTGCCTGCTGAGAGACTAATGAGGCCTAGTCACATGTGATGATTTGTGTTATAATACAGTGATCCCTCGGTTAATGAGCACAATTCGTTCCAGAAGGTTGCTCGTTAACCGAAAAATTTGTTAACCGAAACCATTGTTTCGATGGGTTTTTGGGCCTGGTAATTGGTTCCAGCTCACCGAAAATTACATAGAAACTAAAAATAAATGCAGTAAAGTACACTTACTTTGGGGTGTGCATGTCGAAGGCTCCTGGTTGATGATGATGATGATGATGATGATGGGAATTAGAATGGGGGTGGAGGAGAAGGGAGAAGAGAAGGCATTGGGGTGGAAGAGAAGTCACCCCATGCCGCCATTTCACCCACAAAATTTTAGTTCACTTGGTGTAATTCAAGATTATTTTCTTTAAATCAACACTGCACTGCATTATACATTGTCAATATGTAAAATATATTTCAAAATGACCAATAATTTGACTGGAAACACAGAAAAAAAGCGTTTATGTTGAAGAGTCTTAAACGATGTTCCTTCCTCTGAACTGGTAAACAAACTGACGCCAAGCTTGGTGTGTTGAGTGGCTGTTTGGCGTGCAAAAAACTAGCTTCCTATACTTGAATTATATTCAATAATTGTGAAAATGGCTTAAAAATTTAATATAAAACTTTTAAAATTATTGAATAGTACAACCTTCTTGATATTTACTAAAATGGTAAGGAATTTAAGCCCTAAAACCGATTACTGTATTGGCGGACATACTACAGCTGGTGGGCAGCCAAATGCAGGCGAAAACATGTTGGGAAAAATTTGTAAGGAATTCGTTAACCGAGGGTTTGCTCGTTAACTGAAGTGAAGAATCTTATGGAAGGTAATTCGTTAACCAAAATTTCGTTAACCGAGGCGCTCGCTAACCGAGGGATCACTGTACTGTACTGTAAGAAAAATCAGACCTGTAAAGTACAGTAATGTTTGTTTGAAATGTAATATTTTCTAAGTTGTGATGTAACCCCCTGTGTACAGGGTCGCCTCCGAGCTGAATAAAATCGTCTGGGCGTCTGCCAAACAAAATTTTACAATTGGCTTTCCCATAGTGAAGGGGTTAAGGTCGAGATAATAATAATATCTGAGGGTAAATTGTACGATGGAAGCGAGGGAATGAATAAATCCATCGGGACGACTTATTGATAAGTTCTTGTGTCTGATTTTGTTGTAAAGGAAACTTGTAGAATATGGCTGTACATTATATTAGAAACTACTTGTAATTAACATAGGTAAGGGAGTGTCAGTGGAGTGGATGTTGACTACTGATACACATAAAGTTGTGTTATATGCACCTGATGCTCTTGACAAAATAAGGTTAAGATTACACAATACAGACGGATGGTGAACCATCGTAAGGTTTGTTGTTTGCGTCACTGATTGGTCATTTTCTCAGTAATTTGTAACCATAGGGAATAATGAAGAGATATATTAGGGTAATGATGGCGTAATTATGCTCATATGTCTGCCATAGGGGTGTAATGATGAGAAACACCGAGGACGATCTTCACACACACACACGTGACTCAATCATCACTTCTTTAAGCATTATAATTATGTTGTTGTTGTTTTTGTTAATCAGAAGTCCACAGTTTTATTTAATGTTTGGTGTGAGTTATGTATGAAATAGTTAACAGTAGAACAGTGTGTGTGAGGTAGTGTGAGTTATGTATGAAATAGTTAACAGTAGAACAGTGTGTGTGAGGTAGTGTGAGTTATGTATGAAATAGTTAACAGTAGAACAGTGTGTGTGAGGTAATACAGTAGTAATGGACTCTGTTGTGTCTCTATACACTTCCCGTTGTTGTAGGTAATTTGGAGGTAGATGATGGTGAGGCAGGAGAAAACTACAATGTCAAAGTCAGTTTAAAAATCAAAGCCATATTAGTATTAAGATTTTTATTTTTAAATTATTTAAGATAAGTTTTATGATTTTATTGACATTAATATTTTTGAGAAATTTTAAGCAACTCTTTTATCTGTACATTATGACACACCCTGTACAGTATGGTGCATGTACCTATGACACACCCTGTACAGTATGGTGCATGTACCTATGACACACCCTGTACAGTATGGTGCATGTACCTATGACACACCCTGTACAGTCAGTAGCACTACTCCCCTAGTAGCCAGATCCACAACAAGTGAAGGCCTGGTGATCGGACAAACCCTCCTCCTCCTCCTCCTCTGTTTAAACGTTGTTGGGTAGTTTTGGAACTGTCATGGCTGGGGATGTTGCTGTGTGTCAATACAGTTGCAGTATTGCTCTTTACTGGCAGTGGCTTCAGCTACTGGTGGGGGGGGGATGACAATTACTGCTTGTGACTGTACAGTATGGTGCAAGACTTAGGAGACACCCTGTACACCAGTAGTTTGTAGAGAAGTATTTGCTCACAGTTTTATGTTAAAAATTTTATAAGAAAATTAAATTGCAAAGATATATTTGCTTTAATTTATACATAATGAACTTGAGAAGTTATTATGTCAACTTTATACAGCTCCTCCCCGACTTATGACCTACTCGACTTACGACCACCCGCACTTATGACCTGCCTCAGTCAAACCAAACTTTGGTCAAATTACGTATTTTCGAGTCCCAACGTCAGTACACAGACAAAATTTTCATTTGTAGTTTCCTTTAAAATGGCTGGCAAACTTAAAAGTGAGAGTTTTGTGGTGCTGAGAAGAAAAAGAGACACCCATTTTAGATTTTCTATGTATTATTTAAGCATTTTCGCCTTACGACCATTTCGACTTACGACCTGGATTTGGGTCCCTAACCCCGTCGTAAGTTGGGGAGGAGCTGTATACTGTAAGAGAAGAGAAGAAGTCTCTTAATTTAATTTTCTGTTGTGTTATTGTCCACTCTGTCAGTCCTCGTGTCAGTAACAGTTGTGCCAGGCAGTGCCGGATTTAGACCTGTGGAGGCCCATGGGCAGCCTCTTTGTGGAGGCCCCCCTCATTATAACTACCCAAGAGGGTGCAGTGGCAAGTGAAGTGAGCCTAAACATCTGGGAGTTCCGGGGGGCGCTGTAAGCCCCCCGGGAAAATTTTGAAATTTGAACACTTCTTTGGAGAATTTTGAAGCCATATGCAGTTATATTAAAAATATTAAAAATATACGGTTCATAGGAAAACCAGGTATTCATGAATTTGAAGGAGTAGCTAGCCTAATTTCTATCACGCTTCTTGCTGAACATAGTTTTACGTGATGGAATAGATAAACATGAATTTTAAAGAATGAAAATAAAAATAATCCAAATGAATAAACAAATAAATAAAATATTGTAATATGTGGAGGCCCCTGGGCAGATGGCCACTTTGCCCACTCCTGAATCCGGCCCTGGTGCCAGGATGTGTTCTGGCCTCAACAATCATTGGTGTTCCCCGGTGATCCTTTGCTGCCTCACACTCCCATCTTTGCCAGAGTGACTTCACTTATTAGTCTATACTTACAAGCATACAAGTTTACAAGTTGTCCTGTATAAGAAGCAATAATATAGTTGAGAACAAGACTATTTGTAATATTAACCTTTATTCATCACCTGAAGATCAGCCCCAACTGGTCACCTGAAGAATAGCCTCCTCAGCTTAACCACCTTCAAGCTATCTTGGGGGGGGCTCATTTTCAGGTGATCTATAAAAGCTAGAACTTCTAATGGTCTCGTTTTTTATCTCACTCACATTGCTGTATAAAGGTATTCCAAGATTCTGTAGCACTGAGGGGTTTGTCATCATCCACTGTGCCAAATAATCACAAATATCACTTCCATTTTGAGTGATCAATTTTTACTACATCACCGTCACTATCGGCAGGGTATACTAAGGGTTTGTTTTTGTCCGTCTGTCTGTCCTTGTGTGTGCTTGTCCAGTTAAAGTACCTCTTCTGGATAGGGTCATATATACCTTTAGTTCTTTCTCTCTTCCTTGTTATATGCTCGCTCAGAAACCTACTTTGTATCTGCACCCTTCTCGAAGTGTCACTCATGTGTATAAAAGTTATAAAGAAGTGTGATTAGGAAAGCTCTAGAAAATGTATTGGTCAGGAGTTCGTTTTGGGGACTCGTATGTCTGAATGTTGCTGCTCATTGAGTCATTTGGAATGTCTTTTTCTTTTTTTCCCTCCCCCAGCTCACCCCCACTACAGACGGCTGATTGGTAGCACACACGATGACAGTTAGTGTTGATTCAGGAAACAATAAGCCGCCATTTCACTTACTGTATGTTGGAGTGAGTCACAGTATATAACTTGTTGGTGTGTTGACTGGTGTCGGTGAGGTTAACTGAGGCAGTGTGTGTGTACCAATGAGGGTGTAAAGAAGCGTGTGTATAAACCACCCCTGTGTTAGTGTGCTGGAGACAGTATATTCACTATAGTTACATAGAATACTGTTTTATTTAATTCATTATGTATACTGTACAGTACTACATTATTACTGTATACATAATTCCTGTATACATTATTACTGTACACAATATTTTAAGGTGTGGTCGAGTAAGTTAAAACAAAAAATTATTAGTAAATTTGCCATAGAGTTGGATGTGCTGTAGACAGTGGTCCAGCAAGGTACAGTAGTGTGTGTAAGGCTCGACTGCCTGCTGCTGTAGTACCATCAGTTTCAAGTACAAATTCCTCACTGGCCATCTGGTAAAAGATGATCCTCAAATAATGTTCATATTCCCCCAAACTTCATAATATTCACTCATACCGCTGTACATATTTGCTGCCATGTATGGAGTCAAATATTTAATTATGTTGTGCCAAGACCCCAACAGGGACATTTTGGAAGCAGTCATTGCAAGTTGAAATATTCAGAATATATATTTGTTGCTTGCCGCCTGTTTTTCACATTTCTTCTTTTCATAATGGCGAGGCTGGCATTATAAACATCAACTCTGCATAATGCATGGAATGTTGGAGCTGTAAATTAATAATAATTAGGGAACAGTGTCTTCTGAACCACTTCATTACACATACACATTACTGTCATGTAGATTCTCAGCTGTTCAACATTGTAGAGGGAGACTCTGGACCTCTCGATATATCATTTCATTCATACGTGCGAGTTTTTTGCAGCTCCATCATGTTTTCTTAGGTTGTAATATTTGTTTATTATTGTATTCATAAAAA